TTGCCGCAGTCTGCCACTCTTGGGAACACAGTAACTGGAGTATTGAGGTTTAACGGTGGCTGTGATTGGTTCTTTGTGGTTCTTTATGATTCTTTGTGGTTCTTTCGATTCGTTCTGGATCGGTTCTTTCTATCGGTTTTTTTGACTGGTTCTTCGCTCGAGGTCTTTCGAGTTCTTTCTAGTTCTTTGTGGTTTTTGTGGTTCTTTCGATTCGTTCTGGATTGGTTCGTCCGATTGGTTCTTTCAATTGGTCCTTCTCTCGAGTTATTTCGAGTTCTTTCCAGTTCTTTCGAGCTCTGTCGAGTTCGTTCGAAGAAGTTGTTTTCCGAGTTTGCGAAACTCTCTCGATTTTTTAGCTCTTCCGAGTACCTTCGACCACTTTCAAGTCATGGCGAGTTATTTCGAGTCCGTTTAGATTTTCGAGTTGTTCTTACGGTAAGATTAACATGTTGCAAAGATTACTATACAACTGCGGATTAATTCTATTTGGAGTAACCCTGTTCATTATCGGGCGGACACCTGGGACATCACACAGGCTGACTGAAAACCTTATCATATGTTGGCGTCATTGTTATCTGGCCTATGGCATCAACAACAATACCTTCATTTAGTTCAGCAAGCTATTCCTGTGGACTGGGTTAACATTCTAAGAGCAGGTGTTGTTCCTACACCGCGAATGTGGTACAAGAGCTGAGAGAGTGAACAGTTGGGTTTAGTATGGAAGATTGAAGATTATTCAGAGGTGGCGCAAATCCCGAACTTATGTTGGGAAGCCAAAGACGGATCTTTTGGCTTGGGATCTGATCCGAACTTGGCGCAAAATTCATTACCTTTGCTAACGGTTCCAAACTTGGTCCCGGTATGCGTCTTGGAATATGAGGATGGATATAGGTCTTTCAATATTTCACAACCATCATATATGTTGTTTGTGGATCCTCGTGATTGGGCTTGGGAACACCGTTTGCAAAATAATAAAATGGTCTCGATACAACAATACGCTAGAAACTTTGGATATCAGCTTTCTACACCGCAAGTCGATGCTAATTGGCTTATAGCCCGAAGGTGGCTGGCAACAAGTTGGGTTCAAGACTCGTTGATAAGACTGACCGAAGCATTGCCTATAATTTGGAAAAATCTTATGGACTTGGTTGTAGTTAAGCATGTCAGTTTTCTCTTGCTGATGATGCATCAGGTTGTGCCTGTGATGGTTTGGTTTTGGGAGTGGTGGCGATGAACGAATGTCCCCATTCCAGGTAACAATTCAAGATGGATGGACCGTTTTCTACTACTCAGAACGATGGCGAGAGAAATGTCTCTCTTCCAACAATATGCATATGCAGAAGAGACACTTAGAGGAGCCATACTGTGGACTCTTTGGAACTTGAGGAATTCAGTGACTACGAGAGAGGAGAGGTTGACACCACCGATGGTTCGAGCTGAAATCAAATTTGCCATCAAACAAGCTATTGTGACTGACAGGGAGTACCGAGTTCAACAGAAAGGATACTCGCCGAAATCAATGCAACATTTTCATAAATGTTGGATTGAGTTTTCGGGACTGTTCATGATTGAATGTTTGCCACAACAACAACCTTGTTTATGCTTCTCAGGGTTTTTCTTGTAATATACATGGTTGTACAAAACTTGTGAAAGTGATCATAGTTCATGTCCCCTTTTGTTTCCTTTCGTTTTTGTTCAGTCCTTCTAGAGTGTCCAAATTAGTGTTCATAGTAGAGTCTATAGTTACATTTGGTTTTAGGGATATTGTTAATTAAATTGAGGGATTGAATTCAGATGAGAATAAGGAGTAGAATCTTGCCACAGTTGTGGCCTGGGCTTTACTTGGTCGGAGAGCCTTGCTCCGCCTTAGAGTTGCGGCGAACTTCGTGAGGGATGCCTGACCCAGTTCTCGGCACAACGTTATAAATGTTGCTCCTTTAAACCACTAGTACCTTCGAGGTGTGGGAAAATAGCGGGCCTCGGGTGGGCCTCCGACCTTTTCGGATGGCCGAAACGAAACGACCGCCGCCGATCAGATTTATCAATAGCAGCCGTCGTCGGGCCCGACTTCCGAATTTTCAGAAGTTTGGGAAAACTGTCAGTTTTTCCTAATTTCCCAACACTTGGCAAGGTACTAGTGGTTACAAAAAAAAAAAAAAAAAAGGGTGAAAGCATACTACAAAACGGGTTTCACGCCAAAGGAATATTCTACAAAATAACAAAATCTAATAGGTTATTCTCCTGTATTTTGGTACCATTAGATCGCAATACATCAATAGCAGAGCTCCGTCCCACCATGCCACACGTGATAGAAAGCTTAGCGTTGATAAAACTCAACGTTGCAGGTGGGACAAGACCCCAGGACCAGACCCCTGGGGCATGGTCCCCACCTACCGTTGTTGATTTTCGAAAACTTAACAATGTGACGCCATTTCGACATTAATAAATTCGAAACAAGAAATAAAAAAACTAGAAAAAGAAACAATAGAAACAACTTTTT